TGGCCAGCAGGTCCACAGGGGGAATCCTGGGGCTGGCCTTCCTTTCTTATACCCCGCCACATAGAATGGACTTAAGCAAAACTAAATTTTAGGGGAAAAAACAAAATTTCTTTGAGGCAAAGACAGTAAATATAACTACCCATGGCCTCTTTGCAAGCAGAAAATTAAACTTCAATTGTCTCAAGCAAAGGAAGGAGTTTGCCAACTACTCTCTCCTCATCCAGAATGTGAGACGGTCAGCGCACAGCCATGTCGGTGACAAAGGAGACAACCTGGGAAGGGTCTGGAGGCTCAGGGAAAACCTGATCCTGGAAGTAAACTCCATCACCTCCCGCCCGTGACAGAGCCATGACATCTGAAAAGGAGAATCCTGGTTCTGGGCTTTGCAATCTGAAGAAGGCATTTAGCTGGTTGGGCATCTTCCTAAAGCATCATAACTGGACTGCCAGACCTGGGGATAGCCCACAGGACAGGCCTTTTCCCCAAGAGAGCACCAAGCCCAGTGACCCCACCTGATTCAGGGACAGCACGGCACCACTGTGCTTCTTCAGGCCCCAAAGCACCTACCAGCAGGGCCTTCTCACAGGCCCATGTTTTAATGTCCTGAGTTTCTGAAAATAACATGGTGCTTTTATTTCTAAAAACAAAATGCCTACATCTCACCAGTGTCTAATGCGTGGCCTTAGGCAAAGTATGCATCTCTATGAATGTTATTTTCCTCTGAAAAATTGAGAAAATAGGGCCTTCCCCTTTTTCAGGAAAAAGCATAAAAGTGCCTTTTTCCTGATGGTGCCCAGCACACACCACAGGCTCAATATGCATTTCAGAAATACTCCAGTGACTTTTGAATGGCCAGAGTCCACCTCCAGTGCAAGGCAGGAAGGCTCCTCCTTACACAGACTGGAGAGACAACTGCGGTCACACGTCAGGGTAGCCCCTGAAGAGTTTCCCACTGTACTCTTTGAAATGGGGGCACTCCTTCCTGAAAAACACCCTGCCCTAGACTAATCAGCTCTCAGGTTTGCAGAGATTCTGATGGAGGCCAGAGCAAGTGGGTTCTGGGAGGTTGACCACGGGCTGGTTTGTCTCCTACAGGGAGGTGACGTTCCTACAGGGTGGTCTGGCCTCTTTAAGAGAAAAAAAAAGAAGTTACACAGACAAAAAAACAGCAACACAAACCAACCAAAAATGCCAGGAATGCAAGCTCTGCCAACCAAATAAATAAATAAAATGTGAGATATTTTATTATAACTGGACATGATGCAGTTCTCCACCTGCATAATTGAAAAACTCTACTTTTCCATCAACCCAGAAATGCTCCCCTTCCCCCTGGACTTGATGCCCTTTGTGCTGGACGCTGACTCCGGCAACGTCCACTACCTAACATAGCAGCCCACTCCTGTGCTTCTGTGACAGCTGGACCTCAAGACACTCTGGCAGTTCCTGCTCACTGCGTCTGCTCTCCAGGTCTCTTTAACTTTACTTTTCCTTCCCTTCTAAATAACAGATTAGAGGAAGTGCATGATACAACCACCATACCCCCAACAGACATGCCAAGGGCTTCTAAAAGTTCTACACCAGTCAGAACCATTTTCCTTCATTTGTTTTCTTGTGAACAGCTAAACAGCCCTTACACGCATCGGGCACTATTTCAAGGCTTTGCCCACATTTGCAGATCTAATCCTCACATCAACCCCAGGAAGCAGAGCCATGACATTTTGTTTTACAGATGAAGATGTGGAGCACAGAGAGATTAAGTCATTTGTCCAAAGTCACACAGCTATTAAGTGGCCACACGGGGATTCACACCCAGAGGCTGGCCCCAGAGTCCCTGCCCTGAACCAGCAGGCTCTTTCCTCACGAATGGAGCGTGGCTGGCCCGCGTGTGGAAGCACAGCAAGCAAGTGACCCAACAGTGTGGGCAGCTCTGCCCTTCTCCTTGTCCACACTGGTGAAGAAACCAAGACACACCAAGAGGAGCATGGACAAAGCTTCTTCCTATCTCCACGGGCAATATATTCCCCATGTATAGACGCCCTCTGCTGTGGTGAGCTAGGGAGAGGGCCTGAGCCTCTTATTCTTATAAAAGGGTAAATATCCAAAATCAGAACTCCTGCTTTCATCTGGACATGAGGCTCTCCTTGCAGAGAAGGTGGCAAAGCAGAGGAATAATTAAGCAGCTTGGGAATGTGTTTGCTTTGGCACAAGCCTGGGATCCCTTCTTAGCAGCCTCCACACCAGGAGTGAACCCAATAGCTGTGTTCATTTCTAGCCTATTTAAGATCTGAGAACCTTGCAATCACACCCGTTGCAATCAAACAGCGTATGTCACCTTACATGGACAAGGAAAATTCAACTCCAATGTTCATTCAAAGTTTATGTTAATTTGGCACTTAAGACCATCAACATCCTATAAAGTCTCAAAGTAGAAAAAGCAAATAAAAGATCTTGATCATGTCCTTGGTCAGGTCCTAGCACAAAGCAAATAGTCCAGGTCCTTCAAGTCCTGCTTGGACACCCTACTTCTCCACTGCCTCTCTTTGGCTCTCATAAATTTGGGAGGGGTTAGGGAGGAAATTCTGGTTTAATCATTTAAGCCAGATAAGATCCCACACTAGTGGCCTCTACACATAAGCAACTAAGCAACCCAAAGAAATCATTCTGACAAATATTTAAGTCACAGCTGTGGATACAAAGCCACGCTGTGAGAAGTTAAACTTTAAACATATGTCCTATATGGTCTGATGGGCAAAGCAAATCCCCACTTAGCCAATGTCTTGTCCTTCCACTAACAAAAGCCAGCAGTCCTAACCAATGTTCCTTCTGTCTCAGGCACCTACAAGTTTAAGTCTCAATTGACGTTTCTTTGCTAAGCTTTTCCAAGGTAACTTGCAATATTACTCCAGACGATACACATTGAGAAGTTAGAAATAGGGACTGATTCCACTTCAGCCACTGGCTCACTAGATATTTTTATTGAAGTTTACTTTAAAGGTGTCTCTATTTTCCTCTCTGAAATATGGGTATAATATTTGCATTTAAGCAAGTCCAGAAAAAGTTCAGTTAAAGCCTAGTTTTTATACTCCATATGTATTTTCAAGTTTCTCTCTTTTTCCCAAGAAAATAAACGATAGTGCTAGAAGTCAAATCCCCTTACAATGAATGGCAGAAGACTGCTCAGTTTCTTCCAGCAGCTGAAACTACGTTGTACTGACGGTCACTTCCAAAACCTGATCAGTGGCTTGGAAAGCCTCCGTAAGGTGCTTCGGATCCAACAAATGTTGACTGCACCATTTCAGCCTCACCCTCTCTATTTTCAGATGAGAAAGTCCAAGAAACTGACTTGCCTGGGGCTTCTTTTTATCAACAACTGAAATAATAGCACCATCTACGTTAAATCTCTAATACTTAACATTAAATTGCCAAAAAAAAGAAAAAATGCTTCAGCTATTTACTGTGATCTGAAACATGTGTTGCCAGGGGCTCTTCCTCATCCCCAGCCTGAAAGCTGCACTGTAGGTGAACTGACACAGCTACACTGTATTTCCCAGACGACCACATCTCTCTCTTCCCATAAACACTCATAACAACATATATAAACAAGTCATTCTTACAGAAAAGACCCATCCGTTGCATTAAAGTCTTCCCTGTGAACTACCCTTTCTCTGCTATATATGGTTTGAATTAATTATGACAAACAGAACTTATTCTGGCTTCCTCAAACCCCAAATGCCGCCATCATAAGCAACATCATTTCTGATTTGTAGCTGGAAGGGCCCAAACTGTCTCTATGGTTCTATTTTCTCTCAGGGCTGCTCTGAACATCATTATCCTTGAGGCAAGAAATAACCTTAGGCTTCTTTATACCCTGCAGTCCTGGGGTTGAGTGTTGTGGGGGGGACATGACCTATGTATCTTTATTAAAACTTCTGAAGGATCTCAGAATGACGAAATTCTGGCTTGCATTGAAAGTTTAAGCAGATTTAAAAAGGGTTAAAAGCAGCAGCTAATTATGTCAGAGGCAAAGTGTTAACTAAGACAGCAGCAACCAGCTTTCACGGATAATCACATACAACAGAGAAGCATGTTAGTGCAATTAATTATTTTCCAGAATGCATCGCCTTCTCTCTAAATCTATGTATCTTCGCCTTCAAAATTACCACTCTCTAAGGATAACTGCCAGTTCCCTACCCTAAAGAAAGCATCTTTCCTTCCCAAACTGCATTTGTTCTGGGAAGTCTGTAGGGCCAGAGCTCTAGTGAGCTGCTTAGCAGCAAAATCAGCATCTAAGATAAAATGTATTTCCTATCTTTACCTTCTTCAAACCTACACAAATCAAAGAGCTGGACAATATCATGAACCAAGGACACATTTGGAGTTGGGACTCCTTCCTTCCTCCAAGGTTCTTGGTACCAGAGGACAAACTCACTAACCGCACACTGGAAAAACGGGCAAACGCAGTAACCTGCAGGCACAGATGCGCCCCACAGCTAAGGGGATAATTTCAGTTCTCCCGTCTCCTTACCCTCAACCCAGAGAAGAGGCCGAGACAGCAAAAGACCTAAGACAGAGGCATTGGAGGGAGACAGGCCACCACTTTAAAATCTGCATGGAAGTGGGCAGTTAGACAGCCCAGGGCCATGCGGCTCCCATGCAGGATCCAGGGCTGATGTCCACTGAGGCAGTGTCCATCCTCTCCCCTAACGCTGAGGAACAAGGCCAGAGGTTTCACTCATTGGGGAAATTATAAAAGTAAGAACGGGAGGAGAGGTGTCCACTGGAAATTCTACAAGCTATTTCCCACTACTCACAAAAACACAGCTGTGAAAATAAATACCGTCCCCCAAACCAAGGGTCTCCGGCCACCTACAGTCCTCCTCCTCCTCTCTCCGGCGGCCAACAGCATCCCCCGCTCCTGCAGAAACGCATGGCCCAAAGTAACCGCGAAGCGGGGGCAGAAGTGGAGGGCTGGGGTGGGGGCCTCGGCAGTCACCACTCACCCGGGGAGGGGAACAGTTCCAGATCGACTTTTTCCGTCTTGATGATGGTGAGAGTCGGTTTGAGATCGACGGCCGCCTTCATGGTGCCAGGAGTGGGGGACAGACGGGATTATAGGAAGTTTGCTGTTACTGTTGTTGTTTTTCTTTTTAATGGGAATTAGTAACTGGGGAAGGGAAACGGGGGGAAATCCGACTTTCTTCCCCCAAATCACAAATTCCCGCTGACTTTCCCTGGCGCCCAGACGGTGCGCGCCCGGCACTCTCGGGGAAGTTGGCACTTTGCGGAGAAGTGAGCGCGCTCGGTCCCAGCTCGCCCGCGCCTCGCCCGCGCCTCCTTCCCGGGCCTCGCCCGCGCCCGCTCTCCGCCGCCGGCTGCTCTGCTCCCTCGCGCTCTCTCTCTCCCAACCGCGCTGGTCTCCCTCTCTCTCTCCCGCGCTCTCTCCTCCTCTTTGGGCGTTTCTCGCGGCGTCGCGTCTCAGCCGCGGGGTCCGCGCGTCCGGGCCCCAGCGATGTCCTCTGGGCGGGGGGATCGAGGGGCGGGGCCAGGGGCAGTCGGAGGAAAGGGGCGGGGCCTTGGTGGGCGGGCCGAGCTCCAGCGGCCAATTGCCGTCTGCGGCCCAAAGCGAAAGGAAGGACGGATGGGGCGGGGCCAGGTCGGGGAGGGGTGGGGCCAGGCCGGGGTGGGGCGGGGCCAGGCCGGGGCGGGGCCGGGCGCGCGGCCGCCGGGGAGCGCAGCCCCAGCGCCGGGGGCGGCAGAGCCCTGGGCCTGGAGAGAAGTCTCCGAGCGCGCGGCCAGGCTGGGCGCGGAGGCTGCGCGGCCGGCCGTTTCGGGAAAGTCCGTCTGATTCTCCACGCATTCTTGAGGGCTTGGTCACTGGCTCCTGTCCCCTCCCAGTAAGGGCATAGTTTTCCAAGTGCGTGTGCATCGTTCATTCACAAAGCTTGACACACAGGACGTGAGGCATGTGCACCCGGGGCCGAGCGTGCCGCTGGCGCGGGGGTTCACGAGCCAGTGTCCTCAGAGGGCGATACAAATACTGGACTCCGGCCCGGCAGAGTCTGGGACTGTTTCAGGAGAAGCCTTGCGTTTTTCAGAGCCCACTGGGACATGGTTAGGGATAAGGACAGCCTTGGTGAACGGAAATAATGCTTCACTGGCTTGGTCAGGACCCAGCCCTACACACTCTACTGGAGACCCCCAATCGTGCCTGCATTGATGGGGGAATCCAGAAAGGGGGCCCCAAACTAGAACCCAGCCATAGGCCTCCTTCCACAAGCTTCCAATTTGCCTACAGCAGTGGCTGGGTGGAAGGAGAAGCTGTATTTTCTAATTATTCTGCTCCTCTACGATATCACAAATTCTGCTCTGCTAAATATCAGCAGCCCTCCCAACACATCTGCCACCAAGAAAGTGACACGAGGCGCAGGGGTTGGATTCGGGTGCCCCACTGTCGCCCTGACGGAGTCACCATGCATGCCTGGGTCATGGATTTGCCAACTCCCAACACTTGAGATAAAACAATACGAACCCGAATCAATCATGATATGCCACTGATGCATTGGTTATTATAAATGGAGATATTTTGTCCTAATTCACGGATCGACCAGTACGTGCAGCGGTACATACTTAAGTACAGCCAGGCACTGAGATTCGTCTTTAAGTACAAGATTAAACATAAATCTTCCAGAACTACCTCAGAGAAGCTATTTTTAATACTGTTTCCTGATTTCTAAGCTTGTGTTGAACTCCCACCACTTGGTTATAACTGTAACTTCTGCCTCTGGTAAGTTTTAACACACCTGCTTGCCTTCATCTGAAGCAGTTTTGTGTGTGTGTGTGTGTGTGTGTGTCTCTCTCTCCTTGAAGCATTAGTAACTTGGAGGTTTCCTACAGCAAATCAGGGAAGAAACCAGGAACAGAAAACTCTCTGGCTCCTGATTATGCCCCTCCTCAGGGACCAGAGGAAAATAGTCACATGTGATAACCCTAATTTTTGAAAGGACAAAGAGTGTTGCAATCCAGCTGTGTTTCCAAAAGGTATGAGAAAACAATGCTGGCCTCCAGATGACAAGAACAGACACTTTGGGTCCTGGGAAAAGCTTAGGGAAACAGCTGATGAATGAATTGTACATTTACACATTCAAACAAGCAGGAAAAAAAAGAAAGAAAAGATTCTTGAATCAGTGCTGCCTTACTTGCTATGAAAACACCAGAAGAACGAGCAAACCGAGAGCTGCTTTGGGGGATTTTGTTTTGTTGATATTAAGAAAGTGCTGGTATTTTTTAATCAAAGTGTGAGTACTTTATTTTCATTGCAGCTTCCTCAGAACAACTTCTTTCTCTCTTCCGCTGTCTGCTCCCCAGTTTTCTTCCCCAGGCTCGATAAACATTTCTGCTAACATCCACCAAAATTAGATACGAAGGGAGTCCACCATGATTAAACTGTAAACACTTTCCACTCTCCCAGTGAGGAAAGTTATTCCTTCTAATTCTTCAACAAGGACAACTCAGCGAGTCAATCATCCTTTAAGCCAGTCTGGAAGCACAGAAACTCAAAATATCGGAGTGCCCAATCAAGGAATGGGGCTGGGTAAAGCAAGAGGGTTGGGGGAAGAGCCCAGGGCCAGCACAGACGGCCAGGAAGGCCGTTACTTCTAAATGATACTAATTATGAATTTTATGCTATCCAGAGTTGTGCATCTAACCTTGGAGCTGGTTGAAACTTTAACACAAGGAGCATTAATAAAGTCCGGTTAAGATATTTTTACATATGTGGGATGTTAACAACTAAATTAGTCTGTTAGTGCCATACTTAGTTAACCAATGTTGAAAAATGAATTTGTATTGTCTTTTGGACATATGTAGATTTCTCTAAATTCATGTGGATGTTAAGTGACATTTCTATCTTATCATATCCTAAATAATTATCCCTAGCCCAGCGCCTAAGACATTACAGATACTCAGTAAAATACATGCATGTGTTGAATGATGGCCTATCAGCTTTCTGGTCACATGGGCGTCTGCTTTGGCACCAGTTCCTCCTAATACTGTGGTTGGGTTTGATATGCCGTGGCTTGTGGAGATGAAGGGAAAGATGTCAGTGATTCTGCATCTAGGCTTGTCCTTTGTCCTTCCCAGGGGAGCAGAATCTCTATCCCCAGAGCTCATGTCCACTCAGTTTTCCTACCAGCAAAACCAGAGCAGCTGAACCTTGCCTTCCATCCACTTGGGCAAGATATGTCAAGACTCTACGTGACTTTTAAGGCACTCAGGAAAAAAATCAACCAAAGAAGTACTTGTTTGCTTTTCCTTCTAATGCAGCAGTCTGCTCCTCCTGCACTTGGGAGAAAACAGAATTGTATTTTTAAGCATTCCTTAGGCTTTAGCTAATTACATTCAACCAAGCGCTGAAACGCCTTAGACTAGGAACATCAAGTCAACATAGGCCAAGAAAAGTCTGTGGGAGTCGAGGAACAGGAGTGTGGCGTAGACTTAACGAACAGCAAGAAAATAGTCACCTCTGTATGGAAATTCTCTCAAATACGTGGTGCGTGTAAAAAACATAAACTTTCTCCTTTCTTCCTATTCCTCCCTGAACTCCAGCAAATATAAATGTACACCTGATTTTAAACAATCATGGAAGACAGACTCTGCAGAAGTGCTCTAGAATGCTATTTGCCTGCTCCTGGGTCTTGAACTTCAACAAAACAAAGCATTTCTTCTGCGTTTTGAACTAAAACATGTTGTATCAAAGGTAGGAACAAAAACACTGAGACCGCTAACGGCTGATCCAGAACCAGTTCATGACTCACAAATGTTGATTTACTGGTATAAATGTAAGATTTAGGAAAAAAAAAAAGCCCTCAATTAACAACAACCTGTCTGAGTTGCATTTGTGGTCTCGTTTTTTCACTAAGAGGCAGCAGCGCCTGCCATTTGCAGAAGCAGGCTTGGAAAGCTCACTGCCAGAGCAAGTGGTTTCTGTGTGATAAGTTTGATCATTAAAAAGCACACTGGGGTAAGGAAAACACCTGGGGCTTCACTATCTGCCATTATCAAGCAGCAATAGAATGGTAAGTCAGAAGAGGATGGATAATTAAAATAATCCTCTTAAACTGGGATGCCAAAAGGCTTGGGGGGTCAGCTCAGGAACCCACATCTCAGATCGTGCTGCTGCTGACTGCAGGCTGTCTCTGTGCTCTCACCAAAGCCACTTAATCTTTTCGGGTCATACTTCATCTCTGTTTCAGGGAATAAAATCACCCCTGCTCTCCCTACCCTTCCATAGAGATTCTTGGGCTATTGTTTAGAAAGCACAATAAACAATGAGCTAGGAGGGAAGACAGAAGGCGGAGGAGGGCAGGCAGGGGGGAGAACTTGGAGGCCTAATTGCCCTGGAAAGTTCTCTGTAATAAAGATGAGGGTGAGTAGTGTGGGCTTTGGAATAACTCTGAAGTTCAGATTCTAACTCCACCAACTCACAGGCTGAATTACCACCACCCGTAAATTGCTTAAATAATCCTGAATCTCGTGTCCTCTGCCTTTCAAGTAAGGGTAACAAACAGCATCTACCTTTTAAGGCTACTTGGATGATTATTCACATAAAACGTTTAGCACAGTGTCTACCGTGTTTCCCCCAAAATAAGACCTACCCAAAAAAATAAGCCCTAGCAGGGTTTCTATGCATTTGTTAAATATAAGCCATACCCCCATAATAAGACCTAGTGATGGGCATGGCTATGCAGCAGTATATATGCATAGCCACGCCCTGCATTTCCACACAGAGTGGTAAGGAAGACCACAGCTCCTTTCTCTGAGCTGCACTTGTGTAGGTGTGCATGTGGTAACCGCAGTCACAGGCATCCTATTCCACATGTGCAAACAGCTAGGGGAAAGGAGTTCACGCATCACTAGCACCAGCCCCACCAACAAGGTCAGCTCCCCCTGTCAGGTTCCAGAAGATGACTTAACTGTATTTGAATAAATGTAGATTATTGTATTATACTTAATAAAAATAAGACATCCCCTGAAAATAAGCCCTAGTGTGTCTTCTTGAGAAAAAATAAATAAGTGTCTTATTTGGGGGGAAACATGATAGGTCAGAATAAGTATTTGATTACCATAATTAAGATCCAGTGTAGGGTACATTACGTATGATAAGAAATCTCTTTAAATCCCTCTGTCTGGCCATCCCTTTGCAAAGTAGGTTGAATCCTCAGTTTAATTGAACTGTCTCCAGGGAGATATTGGGACAACTACAATGTTTAATTTTCAAATCTCTTCAATTCCCTTGTTCAGTTCTGGAACAGGGACTCTCCCAGCATCAGCCTCCCTTGGGAAATCCCAGCAGTGAAGATTGGTATTTAAGAGTCACAGAAAAGTGACAGCTTAA